CGCGCGATACAAACATTTCTAAACAATATAATATGATAACATGATATCATAGGTGAATATTACTAAAATAGTCATGGACAGGTATATAATATTTTGTAAATTATTATTATAGCTTTTCGTCGAATATAAATCAGCGATGACCGCGAGACAACTGATGCTGTTTTATAAGATTTTTTTTCAGATGATCCACTGACATGTTTATCCAACTGCACGCTTAACGTGCTATAAAGAAAAGACAAAAAAATAACAACAACAACAATAATAATAATACTAATACTATCACTAATAATAATAATAGCTATAGACATAGGTACGAAAAATAAAAGAATAAAAGTGGTTTCACACATTTCCGGAGTTTCGAACCGAATCATCGTCTCTGAACGATTCGATATACATTTTTTTTTTTTTTTTGCTTTATACATGATAAATTTATAACACTTTTATTCCGCTGCAGCTGATCATCAGTATAGAAAAATTAATTTCAAATAATATAGTTTTATTATTCACAGTATAATATTATATTATACAGGTAACTATTAACACATATAAGAGCATAAAATATGTCCTTTTTTTCCGATACAAAATATCAATTGATATTTGAGATGTATTTCAAATAAACACAATATTGATTTCTTAATATTTTGTCCATATAGTTTACATTATTCTTATTTTTTTTTTTATCATAAAAAAGAATTATAAATGGTACCTAAATCATTTTAGGATGTCTGCTGTAAGTATATCATTTTACATACAACTACGTAATATCGATTAACTACTATCTGCATTATGCAGACTGCATAATAATTAATAGATAAATAAATCATGAATATATTATATTATATCAGTATATCATATTATTGTTATAAGTATATATAATCATAAATTATGGTTATAACTTATAATATAATATTATGTCAGTGAAACTCGTTTACGCATTTCTAGAAAGAAACAACATATGGATTGTGTCCAAATATTTTAAATGATATTTGCAGTTATTTTATCAAAATTAGGTAGTCAAATTTGTTTAGCCCGACCAGTTTTTAAAAAAATTGTTTTAATTTTGTAGATTTATTTTATATTTTGTCGACTGAAAATGTACAACCCAAGTGTTTTAGATAAACTTATATCATAAATGACGTATGTAATGCGTACTATATTAAAATAATATTTTAAAAATACGACATGCTTTTTGAAATGTGTAGTTTAGGGTTAAGCACGTTTTTAATGATATCAGTTAATATTTTTTTCCACAAATAAACAACACAGCTACGACTAGCTAAAAATTTGATAATATGATAAGATCATAGAGAGTAAAGTTATCACCTGTTGGAGTTAATGATGAATGCATAGAACTTAGGAATTTAATTTTAATATCTTATAATTTTTATATATTATTTGAGAACGAATTATAGTCTATTATGGTATTATATTATATACCAAAGGCCAAAGCTACCTGTCAATTTTCATAATATTATTGACAGATTTTCTAAATAAAAAAAAAAAAAAATTTGTAAATAACAGTGCAAAATTTAAAATATTAAATTATTTTAGTTTTAAATATAGATAATTATTTTATTATTTATAACATACTCCATACAGGAGACGTGTTGTATGTTTGATTTTGAAAGAAACAGAAACACTGCACTGCAGCTCAGTACTGTAAATATCGAAAGCATTTATGTTTCATTACAAGAGTTGCATAGTCTATTTCCAGCGATTTCGTTGAAATTATTTTTGATCCAGATTCGTATAATAATATGTGCTTACGATATAAAAACGCACGATTTAGGAAACAACAAAACTATTCACGTGCTGATCGACGTGCCTGCATGCAATTGCTCCACAGACCGATGAATATCCATAAAACGAAAACAATGTGATGACCGGGTAACGAAGACACGGGGAAACGAAAAAATCTAGATCAAACGACCGTGACAGAAAGGTCAGTATTTCAGTAGGTATTCATGAATATATACTGCACACGCACCGTGCGCGGACAGACAGACAGACATACATAAACGCACGTTAAGTATAATCATTATAATGCATGATGGTTGGGGCCGTCGACTATTAAGCATTATTATTATACACATATTATATCGTATCGGTCGAGATAGTATTTTATAAAAATTAATACACTGCACACACGGAAAACGATAGAATTTTCAGACCGTGTAACAGAAGAACTACAAAAAGTTAAACATCAAACGTATTATTATATCCGATCCAGAGTACCTAGTATAATACTACGATAATCGTATGTTATTTTTGGACAAACGTAAAGATATTTCGTTACTTACCATTTTTTTCTCCTATTTCTTGTATTATCACTATTATAATATATATGATACGCTAATGGTAATTATAATATTGTAACATATTGTATTAATTTTGACTGCTTTCCGTTCCGATTAAACACACGCCCCACAATGTTGACGTTCATCGTGTGTATCTATATGCTATGTCTGCCCTTGTATATACGAGTGCGTTACATATTTATAATAATATGCTTATACACCAAATGTCATTTCTAATTTTTGTTACCTTTGGACAGCTGCGCGAGTGTTCCACATAGTACATATTTATCCATATATATATATCGTGTTAAAACTTAATGCGATGAAAACGGAAACCGACCGACATGTCACAGCCGCGCTCGTTCGAGTGTAAAATCAAGACATTTAAATTTTAAACCAAGACGATTATTATTGTACAAGTCACTTCTGGTGGTATACGTACCACGAAAATATGCATTAGCGTCAAATCGGTTGTGCAGTCGGTTTAAAGTCAAAATCGAAATCTTACTGATAAATATCCTGATGTAACACGAAAATCGTGTACAATGTAATATCTATTGTTAACGCGCTCTGTTCCCGCAGTACGCGATTCGTGTGTCTACTTAATACTTATTCATATTTTATTGTCCATTACAAAAAATACGGTACAGTATAAGTCATGCGTTTTTAGCTTTTAGTGTTTTTCTGTGTACGTTATACATTATTTATTGCTCACACTTTAAGAGAACGAAGAACGTGTGTTTTGTAAAATACAAATCTATTAGGTACCTATATAGTATAAAAAAGAAAAAAAACAATGTGATGTTAGTAATTATTTAAATTTTCACACAGTATGTATATGGTGTTTTGCAATGGGAAATATCAATCTTGTAATAGTATAGTGTACACAACTACGTATGTATTTCACTATATATTACCGTGTTAGGTATAATATCCTTAATCCCAACAGATTTTTAGGCAAACTGGTTAGTGTTTAATGCTTATACAATATCAAATTATAATAATTATTAATCATATTGCAGAATACGTTTGTTGGCTGCACGCGCGTGAATTGCTTACCAGAAATACAGGAAAATTTCATAACAATGCGTACGTATAATATATTATGTACGGTGTAATGTGACTTGCGCGGACGTTGTTTAATTTAGTTTTAAAAAATGTATCGTATAAGTTGTTCGCTGCTATGTAGTAGGTGTCTGACGTTTTATTATATTAGTTTTCTCAGTGAGGCCCGAAATTCATAAATCATTTGTATCTATATGAAAAAAAAATAAAAAAAATAAATAAATCTAATCGCTGAGTAAGTCACAGTATGAACTATGAATGTTTTTATTTGAATTAAAATGTTCAATATTATAATAAATCGTTGATTACGAAACGACTGAAATGATTATCAGCGGAGACAATTTGTCAGTCTTAATTTCTAATTTCTATTTCAAAATTTAGTAATTTATTTAAATAACTGTTAGTTATTTATATTCTTCTCAGTAATACAGTATGTTAAAATAATAATTCAAAACATCGCATATTTATTTAAGAATAGATATTACGAGTATTTTATATTATCGCTATTAAGTTATAAGTCGATATCAACATAGGTACCATGTATAATGATGTATTAACATGAATATCATGTTCATACATCATAGGATTAATAATTTAAAATTAGTCAAAATATTTTGAAAATTTAATTTCTTATAGAAGATTAGAAATTAAGAAATAGCAGTGGATTTTTTCTGTTTTACGCTTAGGATTTTTAAAATTGCAAAAAAAAAAATCGTTATTTTTTTTGTTGAAAACTCAATATCATTAAAATTTAAACATAAAATATTTTTGTGAAAAATAAAATGTTTGCATATTGTGTATTTAGGACTTTTTTAATTGTAAAAAAAACTCAGGACAAGATGTTATGTATTCAATTTTCTAACTGTAAATATTATACTAAAATTAAAGCTTTCATATGTTTTTAACTATATAATAATTTGCACATTTTTTCGTGATTTAAAAAGATTGTGTACAAAAATACAAAAAAAAAAAAAAAAAATTGTTGCAATATACAAGATACCAGTAACAGCGAGAAAAATGTGGAGGCCTTTGAAATTCGTCATAACCGATTTATTATATTGTATTTTCAATATTTTATAACTGATTTAAGAACTATACTATTAACGAGGAACTTTTTATTAAAATTTCAAGATTTTTTACTACTAAGAAACAAAAAATGTCGTCAACATAAATCATAGACAACCTAAAATCATTAGAATATTTCAAATATTTATAAATATCCTAATAGAGAGGAGTCAAACCAATTTAAATTGTTTAGGCCGAGAAAAATTTAAATCAGAACAATAATTATCACGGCGTCTAATATCCATCACAGATATTATTAATTTACATAAATTATTTCCCGAAAAGAGTATATATTTTATATTATAATATTGTGTACAGTGTACACTAACCAATAATAATTATAACGGAGTTAGAAATAAATTATAATTATTATAATACACACAACTATAAAATGTGTACCTACTACCTATATACTGCAGTATACGTCGCCTGAAAACCTAACGTCATATATCGTAGGCGTCATAAACACGGTGAATGAAGTAATGGACCAGGAAGGACGAACAGGTAGGGCGCTCCTCCGTTCACGAGACCGCGGACCGGTTTGTGCCGAACGGCCGCAGTAACGAGCTTCGCGCTAATATAGCCGGTCGACCTGTTCAACACAGTCTCTCCGGTCGCGTGTACCGATAATAATAATTACCTAACGTTGTTGCTATTATTATTTATTTATTTTTAATTTTTTAATTCAATTTTTATGTTCTCGTACAAAAACCATCATTACACGAAATATATCGACGACGACGCGAGTTCGAAAATGATGATACTACATCACAAGCGCGGTGTTCGATTCGCGTCCGCGGTGCCGCTCGTATCATAGTTTATCTGCAATCATTGAAAAATTGTAGTTTTGATAAAATAAAAACGAAATGACGTAAGTTTGAAACGAAATTATATATCCATAACAATAATAACGCATTGTAGTACACCGGTCGTTTTGATCGTACAAGTATAACAAAAAAATATAGTACATAGACGAGACAATTATTTACGAATCGTAAAAAAAAAAAAAATTAGCTACATACTTATTTGAATATACGTTTTGAAAAGAAGGCCGAATTAAGGTTAAATATCGTACATAATATTATTATTATTATTATTATTATCTATACAAATACCTATGGCATATTTTACAGACAGTTGCATACCGATTATGGTAGTCCAAGGACACCTCGCGTGTGTATATTTTGTGATATAGAACGGCCGAGAGAATTAAAACCGCCAGGTTTTCGAACCAACAGCTATATTATAGCCTGCTGGTGTACGCCGCGCTGCAATAAATAAACAGAATATCTGTATCACACATAATAATATATTAGTACGCGTATATATATTATATGTATAGGAACATCGTTAACGCGCGCGTACTATTTCAGTCGCTTTGATTCGCGTATTACATAGTCGTGTTATTTATTTTTTTTAATTCGTTTTCAATGGTGAAATTTTCGCCGTACGCGCCGGTCACTACGAAAATAATATAATAATACGTCTACGCGCCGGTAGTATTATTTTAGCATAATGCCGCGTAGATTTGTTACTATTATTATTTTTAATACCGCCGTGCATATAATGCGTCTTCCACGCTGCGCTCGCGAATAACGTAAGTCATTTCTCGATCGACCGTTTACATAATAACGATTTATTTTTCTCCAACATTCTATATTATAGTGTATTCACGTACACAGCCCGAGGGGCCGCATGCTTTCACGTGACTTAACTTCTACATTATACACCTTCCGAAAGACTGGTCATCGTTATAAATGTCGCAACATCGTGAATATATATATATATATATATACATGTGTTTAATGTGTGTGTATAATACATATGTATAATATATATATATATATATATAGTGTACATGCACCCAGCTGTGCAGCTTGCACCGCGGGAATGACAACGATTCGCTACGATGCGTCCTCCGAAACGTGTAACGAAATATGTTGTATATATTATGTATACGACATGTTGCAAATAGTCAATAGATACATTAGCATAGGTTTACCTGCGATCCGTTCGACATGTTATTTTTTCTCATTGCGATTATTAACGACTGTTAAAAATTGTAGTCTGACGCGTTTATTGGTATAACAATATTATGTGTGAGAAATAAGGTTTTCTAAAAAAAAAATTGTTATTCGTTTTGTTTTATTTATAAAATGATAAATTTCGCTAGATTATGTACATTGTCAAAAAAAGAGTGGTTTTTAGTATTATTACTTTAGATTGTACAGCATACTTACCTAACGACATGTTTTAGTAATTCATACATAGGATACGAATTATATAATTATGTATATTTACTACATGTGGTATGCTATATGTAAATTTGTTGTTATTGTTATTTCATCTATAAAAATTATGTTGCACATCAAACAGATTATTTTGTAACAAAATATTTCATTTCTCTTATAGACTATAGTACTTTAGAGTTAAATTGCGGTTTCTTAATTACACAATTTTTATAGAATCAAAATACCGCATGACAGATTTTAGAATATTTTCAATTTTATCGTATGTAATTTAAATTTATAATATAACAAAAAGAAACTTAAACGCGTATTAACGTAATTGGATGAAAGTATGTAACGATTTTATAAAATTTTAATATATATGAAAATAGTTTAAATCTTCCATAGAGATAATTAAAAATGTACTTAAATTTATAAACATAACAAAAAACCTATTAAATCTCCACATATATATGCACGTACCTATATAATAAAATAATAATATTCATACCTTCGAAACCCTGGTTTCTATGATATTTCTCACCGAACCATGATTTTTTTCTTTGTCTTCATAGTCTAATAATTCATCTACACATCATCTCGTTTCCTTTGTATACAAAACATACACTACATTATATTTTATGCCTGTGTATAATTACTATAGATGAAATAATGTGTATTGACCGTTCTCCGGAACTTGGAAATTCTTCGCTTCAATCATCTGTAGTGGTATGGCACCTCCCACGACGAGCGGAAAAATGTCACTCCTTGTTTCTATAATAACATACTTTGTAAGTAATAAATATCTAAAGAGATACCGCTGCCACCAATGTCCTTTACAGACGCCACCGTAAACATAATGGCATTACATCTATAAAGACTACAAAATATGTATTATATATATAAACATATACCGTTGCTGCAGCCAACGAGACGAGAAAAATGTCCCATCGTGGTACAAAAATGCAGCGATGTATAGTTTTGTATATATAGTTCGTCTGATCGCACACGGACGTGACCGTTTTGGCCGATCACAAAAGTCATGTACCTACAAAAGAAGAAGCTATAATACCAATACCACCCAATAGTTGCGCATAGCCACACGCGAAGAGCGATTCGACTCGGTGTGGAAAAACTTCGTCGTATTCATAATGGTTCATATATATTATATATAGGTGTGTATATAATATATTTGTATTATATATATATACAATGAGAGAGAAAGAAAGAGAGAGAACAGAGATAGGTAGTACCTATACCTACGTGATGACACTCTCACGATCGACAAACTCGAAACGGTCATGAGAAAAATATTATATTGCTTTGGCCACTGCAACAGGTAATTTACCGCGTCTCCGACTAAAAATAATCGACGGATGGCAACTTAATGGATCCGAAAATCGTTTTATTCCTTTATTTTTCGCCTAGTCACAAGCCTCGGAGGACGCAGGACACACACGCAGCCGCGGCCAATGATTCGATCCCGCGCGACGAAACGTGTAATAATGGTAATAATAAAAATAATGATAATATAATATTTTTACATTAGATATCCGCGCCGGATAACATAATGTGCACTCTAAACCCTAATGCGTAGCCGTAGTCACGAATTTCATTTATAAACGTTTACGACGATAAATTTTCGTTAATCGCACGATATAGGTATTAGGTGTGTACGCGTACACCAAATACTTACATGTAATATATATTATACACGCTATATACTACACGCACGGTATATACCGATATAATAAGAGTACCTACCCCATATATTATAAATACCTGCACACATTCCAATTATTCAATCTATCACGAATTCATGAACGAAATTTAATAAGCCCCGTTTACTGGTTCGTACACAATACGTTTGGTTGTAAATATATCTTTTTATAACCGAAATTCCGCAACTGTACTGGAAGTCACATTCTAAGTACATAACCGATTGCCGGAATGTGTTCGGATAAAATTAAATCACAGCATGTATTTGGAAAATATATCGTTATACGCGTATAACTCATGACATGTATACCTATTGTATACTCGCGCGTATAAAATATTCTCTGTTTATAATTTAAATATAACCTTAATCTATAATATCATATTTTTAAATTTTAAAAATACATCACAATGTGAATAGAAATGTGCGATTAGTAATTACCAATTACCTACTTAAACTAAATATGTATTATAATAATTATGAGATATATACATTAATAATGTTTTGTCATCTGCAGAAATTTAATGCAACTCAATTATCAAATTAAGGTGTAATTTATACTGCTGTAGATTTGCTCGGTCATCAAAATCAGGTACCTTGCTCAGCTCTTCAGTTGGTAATTGGTTTATTGGTGTATAGTGTACGTCTAACAGTATATCATAATGTAATTTTGTGAATAATGACCGTTTGAATAGTCCAGTGACCAGTGAATAGTTCCACCTAATCATAATAATATAAAATAAATATAAATTAATGACTATATATTATATTATATCACTACCGAGCATTGGGTTTTATTATGACAATATATAAGTAAATTTAATATATTTATAGGTAGCATAATATATACAACCAGTAGTTTTTTGTTTCGGTGAATACCCTCACCCCGCATTAACAAATTAACGTTAAAAAATGTTTTCATATCATTAAAATTTAACCTAATAGAAAATTTAAATATACCGTATGAATAACATAAAAATATAAATTTACAATTTTAAAATAAAAATATCAATAAAAGTCACGTCAGGCCCTCAATAATATTTTTACTAATAAATTTGATGGTAGGTTAATTGGCTCTAATATTAATGACAAAATAAGATAAATTGTTTTAAACATAAAATTGACTGTTATATGTAAATAAGACGAAGATAACACATGATTGTAATACTACCAATACTCATCTAGGTCCCAACATCAGACATCGGTGTTGTAATAGATAATTTATATTCAACAATTATTAGTTGAGTAAATAAGTACTTCATAATCTAATACTGCATGGGTTCTAACTTCTAAATATCAGCATTTATGATATTAATATTTTAATTTTCTAATACATAAAACATGCTCATAATTTATGAATCATCTGTTAGTTATGAAGTAAACTATAAATGTAAATAGAGACCAAAATAAATAAAAAATGTTATTAGGTATTGAGTATTGGACCCCCTTCTCGATAAATTCCTTGGTAGGTACGCCAAAGCGATAATGCATACATAAACGATGGAAACAATAGTAATTGCGTACACACCTGCACGTGCATGGAAGGCTATTAAACTTATTAATTATTAATTATAAGGAATGAATTACTATGCATCATTTTTATTATCATCGTATAAATATTAACCAAAATGGGAAACATTTTGTAATAGCAATTAGAAAATCTCTTATAGGTAATATTGGTATATTGTACGATTTGTACCAGCTACAAGTAGTTAAAACTTAAATGTACAACTTAGTAGTTAGTACCTACTTCAGACTACTAATAGCATATTAAATGTCGAAGGGACGATGAGTGAATAACCCTTTCCCTTAAATTTTGTTTTATTTATTTTTCTTAGGCAGTTGGGCTTATTGATAAATGTTTTGTTATCGGTGTTTTAAAAAGTACCATCTCTAGTAACTAATTTAACTTTTTATTAATTGATA